ATAACTTTTCTCTAGTCTCTCAGCCTCCTTTGGGCTGGATTTTCTGTGGATATAACTTTTCTCTAGTCTCTCAGCCTCCTTTGGGCTGAATTTTCTGTGGATATAACTTTTCTCTAGTCTCTCAGCCTCTTTTGGGCTGAATTTTCTGTGGATATAACTTTTCTCTAGTCTCTCAGCCTCCTTTGGGCTGAATTCCCTTGGGATCCTCCCTCATGGGGAGTCCCACTTATCTCAGTCCTTATTATCTGATAAAAACTCCCTCATCAGATTCTGGTTTCTGGTGTTTATTGAAGGATCTTTACAAAACCTGGCAGATCTATCCAGACTGGCTGCACAAGCTTAAATCACCACAGCCTGGCTCATCTCGTTCTAATGATACAAAATGGCCCCAAACCACGTGTTCTTTTCACCTTTATACCAATTTTTACCCCATTAACTACAGACAAGTGTATTGTTATTATATCTCAACAAATAATTTTTCTGTATCTACTCACGTAATTAAATCACGTAATTTAATTACTCACGTAATTAAAAGTGCAACTAACTCTAAACCAATCATATTTTGTGCTTCTATAAACTGCAGAAGCATGGAGAAGAAGGAAGAAGAAGGATTAAAAACTACACCCTTTTTCCTCCATCTTTACTCCACGTGTGGAACCCTCTTAAAATCTATACTTTCACCTCTGTGTTAAAAGAAACATTTTTCTACTTTCTATTTTATTTCTTACAAACTCTGACTTGCTCAGGGATATTTGGAAGCCTTTTTATCAATATTATATATGATTGATGTATTTTTTTAAAGAATTATATAGACAGAGAAATGTCCCTGCATTTCTAGACTCCTACACTAGCGTGTTCTTTCTGCTCTAGGCTCCAAAGCCTGGTCCTTACGTGAAGGAAATGACTGATGCTGCCATGTTTTACACCAACCGGATCCTCAAGGAGTACAAGGATGTGTAAGTTCACCTTTTCCCTTTGGGATGTTGTTGAATTTGGCCAGCTGGGTGTGCAAGGGCTGCTCCAGCATCTGCCCACCTCTGCTTTCCTCAGCCTTTCATTCCTCCTTCTCTCATCTGCTTGTGTTCTCAGAGATAAAAAACAAGTGGACTGGGTGAAAGCTTATCTGAGCATCTGGACAGAGCTGCAGGCTTACATCAAAGAGTTCCACACCACGGGGCTGACCTGGAGCAAAACAGTGAGTGCTGGCTCCGGGGCGCGCCCGGCCGGGTCACCGCGCCAGAAACGGAGCTGGGGTGCCACTGCCTCTCCTCTTCCCTGCTCTTCCAGGGTCCTGTGGCCACAGCAGGGGCTAAAGCACCGCCTGCCCCCCCGGCTGGGGTTGCACCCCCACCTCCAGGGCCTCCCCCTCCTCCTGCCCCCGTCAGCTCCGGCACCGACGACTCGGCCTCGCGCTCGGCGCTCTTCGCCCAGATCAACCGGGGAGAAGGGATCACCTCGGGTACGTGGGGGGCACGGGGAGGGAGGGAACTGCTCTGCCCCTGCTCCTTGTGGTTTCCCTGCTGTCCCTCAATGCACCTCCTTAAAAAAGACATAAAAACCCATTTTGGGGCTGGCAGCCAGGGGCAGCGCTTTCCCAGGGACCAAGTGAGCGCTGCTGGGGGAGGATTGGCACCCTCAGCTGCCAGGTGGAACAAGACATGGACCTCTAGATGTAAACAGCCAAGGCTGAGCCCTTTGGTTGCCTGCGTGTTTCTGGTACAAAAAATGCAGTTTTGCAGCTGTTGTTTGCACAAAATCTTCCCCTTTTTTTTGTGTCACCTGGTGAGCACATCAGGACAAGGAGGTGCTGGGCTCGGGGCTTTTTCCAGCTGCAGAATGGAAGAGCTGGCACACTCTGCATCTGTGATCTGTGTCCTTGTCAATATTGCACCAGCATTTCCTGCTTCCTCCTTCCCTTCCTGTCGCTCCCACTTGGCTCAGCTTAGCCCCAGTCTCAGTTTATTTGTGTTTTGACAAGTGTTGATGGGTGGAACCGCTGATGCCTGGTGCTTGTGGAGCTGCGTTCCTGCAGGGGAGCCGAGTCTCAGGTTTGCCTTCCCTTGCAGGCTTAAGGCACGTCTCAGATGAGATGAAAACCCACAAGAATCCAGCCCTGAAGAACCAAGGGGGCCCCGTGAGGAGCGGCCCCAAACCTTTCACTGCTCCCAAACCAGCCTGTAATGCTAATCCCTCCCAAG